CCAACGTCTTCTTGCCTTCTTTTTAAATATTTAGTCAACCTTAAAATTAATGCATTAAGGCATAATTACATTAGTACTTAATGACGATTATTGACCACATACATGAGTACAAGAAATAAGAAACCATATCTAATAAACAGAGTGAGGTCAACATGGACCCAAAGGTTTGTAATTATCAATATAATAGGCTTGTGTCCTACAAGTGAAAATACAGGTTTATGTTATATCTTCGAAAAATATGAACCATTTTAACTTATAAATATTTAACAAAACAAATTTTAAGTCACTGATTTGGAAAATATTACGCTTTGAAAACTTGAAAAAAGTAGAGAAAATCTACTACAAAAAATTGCTAAAATACATAAGGCATTAAATTAGATATAAAAAATGTTACAACTTTCATTATAACAGCTATAAACATAAACGCACAAATAATAAAGATATTACAAAAATTTTCCAGACGCCCATACATTTTTCGCTACTGTAGCGCCATGTGACGTCACTGAGTGTTTTGGATTTTGTAGGTACCGTTTTCGGCCAACTAGCAGCAGTTCTACAAACACAGCTCCGTATCTCCGAAACTATTAATCGCAGACATGCTGTTACTTCGACATTATTTCTCGGATGTTAATGGACTATTTATTTATGAAATAAAAAAAAAGTTGTCAACTAGCCTATTCCTTTTTTGGATAATTATTATAATAATTATCGAATATTTTTTAATAATTATCCAAAGTTACTGGCAACTTTTTTTTAAATATAGTAATGCATTCATGAGTGAAGAAACTTTTATTTGTTGTCTTAAATTTCCAAAAATAAACCAACAAAATAAAAATACTGTGATATCACATCGAGCAAAAAGTGAAATTAAAATATAAATAAAAACATTTTTTAATCTTTTAAAAAGGGCTTTAATTTTTTTTTGCTTTTTTGGTCCATTTTATACAATTTGTATTAGTTGTTTAAAGATCATTCCCCTTTAAATAAACTGTTTTTGTAATTTAGTATTTGTTAAATTATAAATTATAACAGTTTAATTTATCAAGATAATTATCGCGATAATTTTCAACGATCATTATCACTCCGAGCCCTGATGGGCCCTGTCTCAACGAAAGCCCCTGTATCACTTCTACATGGGCAGAGAGATACAGAAACGACTCTAATCTAAAATAAAACAAAACTAAAAGACTGATACTTAATTTGGGCTTGTGTTAACAATATTCCATAGTCATAGTCATGTAATCAAAGAAATATAAATATAGAGTACTTTTAAGAAGTCTATTTGAATAAACATTATTTTGATAATTAATTATACTCTTGTATATTAAATTTGTTTATGTTAAAGTTTAATTCTGTCATCTTAGTTATATTCACAATTGAAAACGTATTTTGTGAGAACTAAACCTAAAGTCTACATCGTGCACAAAATTACTAACAGAGCATTTTGCAAGCTAAATTGACCCACTTCCCCTAGTTTTCGATGCAGTTGTGCACACAAATAAGTATATTACTTGGATGACAGTGCATATAACCGTGAAACTTTGATATCTAGCGACTACACGCCCAGTCTCTATCCGCATGACCTGGTGTGACCCCCACACACGTGTTTCGCCCCTCCACAGAGAAGCCTCAGGAGTTGGTACACCTTTCAGTGACAACCACCGAGTCTCGGACTTCCGTGAAATAACGCTTGATTCTATTAAATAAGTGCAATATTAATTAGGAAAGGAGCTGATCTGATAAAGAGTAAGATAGTAAACTGATATAGAGTAACACTCGTTTGGTTTGTCTCGACAATATGAATTTGGTAACATTCAAGGTCTGATTAGATGGAAGGTAGACATGGTTATTCTGAGTGTAGAGCTCGATGGCACAGAGGTCAACCCGCTCGGTCTGCTATACGGTAGCTAAGCAACTTTCCCAAAGGCCGATCAAAAGATGAGTGAAAAAAAAAAAAATTATCTCGAGTTCCTCCGTTCTTTGGAAGGCACGTTAAGCCGTTGCTTGGTCCTAGCTGTATTTGCAGTCATTAACACCCACCAATCCGCTCCGGTGGGTCATGGCCCATTATCCGTCTTCGATTCCATCCATATCCAAGGCCTGAGTACCAGCAGTGGGGACATTTATGATGACAATTTTATAATTAATTAACACAACTCTGTCGAATTTGGGCTCGTTTTATTTGTCTATTATAAAATCTCTGGTCTAACAAAAGTTTGTTTTAAGAAAAATAAATTTAGTTTTGAATTATCTAAACTAATATTATAAATAGGGTGAAGTTAATAACTTTTATTAGCTCGTTTGTTTGTAAGGGGGTAATTTTCGGAGATACTGCTCCGTTCATGAAAATTCTTCCACCAGCGGGAAGCTACATCATACGCGGGTAACATAAGTTATAATTTACGAGAGCGAAATCGTAGAAAACCAGCTAACATTAAAATATAGTAAGGGTAAATAAAGTATAAGACATTTTGACAAAAGAGACGACGTCTAATTTTTGTTTATTTATCCGTCGGGTAGATTGTTGTAGAATATTAGAAATGTATTTTTTTTCGCAATCATAAAATTACGGCGATACTTTAGAGTTAAAAAGTCGCATGACGTCACGATTAGGCACCTTTTCTACAAAACTGTGACGTAATGAGCCTACACGCCTCAACTTTAATGTCATCTAAGCTAATTCTTGTTAAATTGAAGTTAAAAAAATATACGTATCTAATATTTTTCTATTATCTTACCGACGACGGGCTAAATATAATTTCTTTTTTTTACCCTTACATCTTACCTATTGACGTTACTCATAGTTGTTAGAAAACGGTTATTTCTGAAATTGCAACAAACCGGTTGTGGAACTTGTTTTTGTAGTTTTAATATCGCGACAAAATAGCATGTTATCAAGCGTGGAGCGACCGGCTACCTTGTGAAGGTCGAATGTGTTAGTGACGACTACCAAGCGATACTCACTCACTGTTCAGATACACATTGCTAAGGTTTAATAGCCGGCACCATTAATAAAGTACTACAATAGAAAGACGAATCAAGTCACAGCCTTAGCATAGCAGTAAAATTATAACGTGGTTTTAATAATAATAATAACAGTTTATTTCAGGATATCCCATATAAAACATTACATCGTATATAACTTGTCAAATAATAATTAAAAATTAATGCAAATTTAATTCACTGAATTAATATCAATTTATTAGTCACTAATTATATTATACTATATTAATAATATTTACTGACATTTCTCGTCATTCAAAAACACATTTTTGAAATATATAAATTATACAATATACAGTCATTACAACTTTATTTTTATTAGAGGAAGATATTCTTTTATGTAATGAATATTTTAGATTTCTAATGAAGTCGTTTAGGCAATGAACATTATTTTCAGCAGTTTTAAGGATTCCGTACCCAAAGTGTAAAAATGGTACCCTATTAATACGATTTCGCTATCCGTCCGTCGCAAGGGTGTACCTCATGAACCGTAATAGCTAATCAGTTGAAATTTTCACAGATGATGTATTTCTGTTGTCGTTATAACAACGAATTAAAAACAGAATTTAATAAATTATTTAAGGAGGTATCCATGCAAGAAACCTTTTTTATGCGTTCTTGTTATAGATAATGGTACGAGACTGTTTGTGAGAGAGACCGACTCCCGCTTGGCCGGATTTATTCTGCGTCTCAAAACTCTCCCCTTTATCTATGAATGATATGACCCAACTTTATTTGGTTTTTCGTACGTACATATATGATGAGAATAAGTTCAAAATCCAAGTATAATTAAATTTGTAACTTCTGTTATCAAGTGTAAATTGATAAATTAATTAAAGATGGAATGTAAAAAACGCCTAAATAAATTATTGAGAATATTTCAAAACTTTTACCTTATATTTTTAACGCTCTTTGAAAAGCAAGCAAGAGGTATTTAAAAACAATAAGATAAGTTTTTTTATATCTATCTATATACCTATATAAAAATGAATCCCTATTTCCCTTGGTCACGCCATCACACGTGAACGGCTGGACCGTAATTTTTCTTTTGTTGTGTTCATTTTTGTCAGGAGAAAGTTTTTATGAAAGAAAAACATTAGAAAATTTAACCACCATATAAAATTATTTCTAATCTAATCCTAGACGCTTTGGATAATATAAACTTTTTTAATGTAACCTTATGTGACGTTTAACATAGAATTGACAGATGGTGTGCTGTAAAATTTCATAATTAAAAGAGTTGTATTATTGATCGAAGTTAAGAGAGTTCTAGTAAATTAATATCCGGAAAACCTATTAATTCTTAAACATCGCAAGTGCTAGCGATGAATTAAAATCGGTAGTGTGAGACAGGTCTAAAAGCAATACGATAATTGAGTTTATCTTGTTTTCTGTTTGTATTTACGCCCAGCCTTAAACACATCCCGGTTCTGATGATTCGACTGACAAGTCCGCAAGATAAGTCCCCGGAGGCATACCTACTAAAAGGACAAAAGGGTAAGCTATACGGTGTGCTCTTCCTTCAGGGATAAGATACGAGATCTGATGTTTATTTATTGATAACTAGCCATTTTCCTGTGACTTCAGACGCAAAAATTACCCGCGTTTGATCTCGTATGTGAAAAAAAAGATCAAAAACGAAGCAAACGAATGACCAAAAGCAAATCTTTACACTTTATTAGTATAGACAAGGGCATTCTGTCTTTGTTTTTACTACTAACCAATATGAGTGACCATTAACATCAATATAAAATGATTTATTCTAAGCACCTGTGCTTAGCCAAAGTGATTAATATCATTAATGTCTGAAATATTCCTCCTTCTGTCACGTAAGGCGCGCGTGATACGGCCTCTTAAATTTAAAATAATATACAGTTAGTTGCAGAAACGTACATTAAAGCTTAATGTCGACTTTGAACTCTAATGAGTTTTCTAAATTTGAATATTATTTAATGACAATTTTAACGGACGTCTGACGACGTGCAATTAGGAAATAGGGACGCACTCAGACGGTCTAAAGTTAAATTAATAATGAACTGTCAATATAGTGCTAGGCTGCTTTAATCTATTGAAGAATCACAATTTTGTAGTTTAGTCATGTTTGAATTGAAAATATTAACCAGTTTTTCCTATATTACTCCTACGACTACGACGTCAGTAGCCGAGTGATTCGCACGCCGATTTCAGGTGTCGCCATATCTGAGGTCCCAGGTTTGATTCCCGGTTGAGTCAATGTATAAAATGGACTTTTTTTATACCGTTCTGGGTGTATTGGTACCTTTGTTGTCTCAAATACTCCAAATGCTAGGGCTACCCATCTTAAAATCTGAGCAATGTATGGGATGTTGTCTAATAGCTACATTGTAGAAATAAGTCTCTGCTAAGCCCAATCACTTGAAAACTTGTTTATTATAATAAGTGCATAATAAGTAGTAATATTTCATAGTTCATATATTTTTTAGATATATTATTGTGGTTATCAAAATTTCATAAATTCAAATTTCAAATTTCATTCAGTTGAACTTTTCTTGTAGTTTTTGAACACACAAATTTTATTAATGATTTTCATCACCGAGATAAAAATTTGATTAAATTATGATGTAGTGTGTTCACAGTAATAATGAAAGTAAACAGTTTTTAATAGATTATTTTATTAGATTTTTAATAGATTATTTATTTTTAATAGATAGATTAGAAATATCAATGTTCATGAAGCAGTTATATGTAATAGTTTAAGAGGCTCTCCTCTTTTGTAGATCATATCCTATTGTAATATATGATGGGTAATTAAGTACCTATATAGAATTAAAATTTGATAAGCTAGAATTTTTAAAATTAAAATTAATAAATCAAATTGCTTAAGGTTTATTATTGCTTAAATATAAATTAATTTAAAAATCACACATAAAATGCCCAATAAGAGTCCTATAAGATTTTCTATAAAAGTTATAACATAAAAAGTTACATAACTTACCAAAATTTCATGATGTGTATGATTTCCTCTATGAACCCACTGCACATTGGAAGCAGATAAAACTACCAACCCATGACAAGGTATTGTAACATTAGTGCCTTTGTCTGTTGCTACTTCCCTGGTCTCCACTTCCTCGGCCAAGACCCATGGTAAAGCTAAAAATATTGCTTATATTAAAACCCCAATTTTAATATAGTTTTAGTTAAAAACATACTCTTATTTTTGTTACCTTTGATTCCAAGGCAGAATACAGAGATTATTATACGCTCGAAAAACATTATACTTTTGCTGCATTTAGACACATAAAAAATATATTATTTTAATCACTATCTAATTTAAAGTAAGATAGATTTATTTACTATCTAAATATTAACATTATACATAATAAACGATGGAAGGCGAAATAATAGGAAATAAAATCACACAACAAACGTCCGAGCTTTTTGATGAAAGGCATAGACTAAAAAAATAAATAAATGTCACTTTTGGCTCGAGTAAATGTTGCAACGCATAAAAATATAAAAACTTCAAACCACAGAGAAATGAGTATAATTATGGTCATCTCCGTATCGATTCCATTATAGTTTTATTATTCATTACATCTACGACGATTATAGCTATTTAAAAAGACTATTTTAAAGCATACGTGCTCAGAATAACGCCTGTTCCAAATGCAGACACTCATTTTTGTGTTATGTTGTGATCGTTGTGAGTCAACAAAAGAATATTGCTTTCTTAATAGTACAATTAGCGCAATAATTACTTAGTGTATTGTGTCGTGATATAAATATGTCCATTTAATTTCAATGTATGAAAAACATACGACAGCAACAGCGGCACAACAATCATGACACAAAGTGATCTGTGCCCTGAGGTAAGTCAATAAAAATAAATCATGTTCTTAATCGGTATAGAATCGGTATTTAATTTTAGTTGATTATTCTCAGGGAATATCATCAAACAAAAAGCACTGAACTGACATATGTCAATATATTCTCTATGGTGTATGGTCATTACATAGACAACATCAAAGATTTTCTTCGGATATGGCCGCTGTATCGGCAATACAACATCTGCAATGTTTTGTATTCATTTTTATAAAATGAATGAAGTGTTTTTTACCTTTATGTAGTGATTAGTAGACTGTGCATAGTTCTGTGATAATTGTAATGGATGCAGAGAGCGAGTACGAAATAAAGAGGGCTCGTGATGCAATTCAAACGATAGAGACTATCCAGTCTATGATAGACGTTTCAGCAGATATTCTCGAGGGCTTGAGGACACAATGTTCGACGAGTGCGGAGCTTACACAACAGGAAATCCGGACCCTGGAGGTACGGCTCATGTCATATCACTGATATTAAATAACAGTCGAGCAACATGCGATGCCCTTGAGAGTATTGAGGGAGCCCAGAGATTCAAGGACTTCTGGCTCAAGGACTGGAACGTATTTGTTGCTTACGTATAGGCCGTTCTCTACTTATATTGACTGACCTTGCATAAAAACCGGTCTGTTTTATGGAATAGAAGTTTGTAAATTGTCTTATAGAGGAATTACACTGTAGAAACTGTCATGTATACACACTTTATTTTGCTGCTTCATGTCAAATAATATCACAGATTTCTTATTGGAGCAACTTGCACTATATTGTTATAGTACTGATACCATACTAATATTTAACTTTTACATTATGTTAGTGACCATGAAAGCATAAAACAATATATGACTTGTTTTATGTCAATGTAAAACTTTAAAAAGTCAGTTTGCCATCTTAATGAAATTATTGTTTTCTTTCATAATCTAAACCTACTTATATAAAACTGTTTATAAATAAAATTTATGTTAGCAAATTTTATCTTTTTACACTATCCATATTTCAGTTAGTTTTTATGAATATTTCAATTATTATAAGTAAATAAACTTGAATATGGTAAGATAATATTTAGTGATGAGGTTAGGTCAGGGGCTCTAATTTTCTGCACTTGACCTTTAATTGGTCCATTGTAAGTGTAATTGTTATGAATATTTCACAAATTAAACTTGAAAACATTCTAAAGATTATAAGAACAACATAGTTTATTCTCTTTTAAATTACTATTCATACTAGTTATTCAGAATAATTATAATTAAATCTTATTCAGTTCACATAGAATAGATATTGTCAAATTGTAAGCATTGTTGTGTCTGTATATGTACACAGTGTCTTTATCATCATACTAATTAATAACAATAGATGTGGTACAGTCAGTGCAATTCAATGCAAATGTTTAACTTCTTACAGTTTATGTTTAATGATCAATGCACATTGATAAAAAGGAAAACTTCAATATATTTAATAATAAACATATTTATTTTATACTTTATGTAGATTAACTAGCTTTCCACCAGCGGCTTCGCCTATGTGGTCTTGTATTGTACATAAAAATCTTCCTTTTGAATCACCCTATCTATGAAAAAAACTGCATTAAAATGTGTTGCAAAGTTTTAAAGATTTAAGCATACATTGGGATATAGAGACAGAGAAAGTGACCTTGAAAGATATTCACGATCTTCACGCTACAACTTTTTGACATGTGATTGAGATTGTGACGTATTTTAAAGATTATGATGGAATGATATATCTAGTTTTACGTTCATTGGAATTTTCTAAGACGAGCGTTAGACGATAGACTTACAGTTATGCGCCTACCACACGTGCATGCTTGACCACAGTTTTACTTGCGCATGCCGACTTGTACACTGAACACTGTGCGTGTAGTTGGTAAAATGGTAGCATGCGCAAACCCCATGCGCAAGTAAAACTGTGGTCAAGCATGCACGTGTGGTAGGCGCCTTACAAATTTTTTATTATGTCTCTTGGTCATTCAATTATACTATGTAGTGATATAAAAACTGAATAATTATATAAATGGTTACAAAATACATCCTCTTAATGATTTTGGTGAACCAATGAGTATTGGTATACTCACATTAATTCTCAATTGAGTGTTTTAACATTTTAGAGGGAACTTGGTAATTCTTCACCAGGAGAGCTATAATTTGTTGTTTTGATAAATTTTATAATTAAATATTTAGTAGTATTAATAATGGTGTAAAAATACTTGAAACCCTGCTGTCTAGCTATTCAGACATCAACAGTTAATGTCTTTGCAGTAATGTACAATATTTAATTATTTTTCCAGGGCAAGCTGGTGAAACATTTTTCTCGCCAGCTATTTATAAAGGCACGTTTCGGTGAGGAGCTTCAGCGCGAGCTGTGCCGCGTGCCATGTCTCGCGCAGTGGTTGAGGGTTGTAGGACTCAGTCCGGAGGCTATAGAGGTATATTAAAAGTTTTTTTAGAATAAACATTTGATCAACAATTTTACATAAAGAGAAGGCAGACTTGTAATAATCACACTGAGCTAATACAGAAATTTAATATAATCTGGTGTTACTTTTAAGAAGTCAATAACACACAAGTCTAAGAATATAAAATGTCTGTATACTGCTTTTCTGCTCATAAATTTTCAGTAAGTTCAATATGCTAACAGGTAAATCAATCTAAATCAATAAATGAGGAGCATGATCTGCAGCTGTTAGCATATTTCGTCTGTGATTACGGTAGATAAGCACATTTTGCAAAGTTCTGTTATGAAATGGGTTAATAAAATTTTATAATCTGCAGTTCCTCCCAGTTTCGGAAGTCCAACAAAGCCCTTGGTGGAAACTGCATAGGCTTATTCTGTGTGGTTTAATTCTAGTAGATGATAATAGGATGGTTATGATAATGCTAAATGTTGAACAGGCGATATGTTCGCGCGTCAGTTCGCTGGAAGAGCTGCGCGAGCGTTCGGACCATGAGTTGCGGGCGATGCTCGCGGGCGCGCGCGACGAGGAGGTGCGGCGGCTGTGCAGAGCTATGCATCGTCTCACCACCTATACTGGTAACCACTATCAGTCAATCGGTTTTATATTTGATATACACAGAAAACATTTAAAAAAATAGAAATCAAAATAAAGGACACGGGCAAAACTTGCCACAGAGAAGTTTCATATTTTTATAAAGAAAAACCAGAAAGACTTAATGAGATTACAATTACAAAACATAGAGATAATTTTATATTAGAAACTTCAAATGTAGTGGGGTTTAAGAATATGTTTATGAAAGGTATACAATTAATTTGCTATAAACAAACGAGCCTGGAGTAGTTGTTGTGATGTGATGTGACGCAGAGGCGTTGTGCCGCGGCGAGGGCGGCGCGGAGCTGCAACTGTTCTGGGACTCATGGGAGCGGCACTCGCATGCGCGCAACTCGCCGCGCCCGAGACCGAGACGCTCCAACGATAACGACTCGCAACACTCCACGCCGCAGGGGAAGAGAGGTACTCGCACTCCGCTGACTCTAGACGAGCATTACCGCGGGCAAGTCTGCAGACATGCTTGCTAGGCAAATTTTGATAATGCAGAGGAAATTCAACCTTAAGTCTCAAATCAGGGCTCCAACTACCCCGCCTTGAAAAGGGCAGGTTAGTGTGGCTAGTCCACCTGATAAAACCCGCAGCGTGAACCACTGCGGATGGATGAGTCCGGTATCCTGCAAGGTATCCATCCGGCATCCAGTCTCGATCCGCGCTAGGACTCCTCCCTATAGGGGGGAGAGGGTCGATCTCTGCAAATACCTGCCAGACCTCGTTTAGTTTTAGTGTAGGTCCGTCTCAATTATAAGACATAGACAGATGTATATTAACGAAGCCTGGTAGGCATGTCTATAGATTTGTATGCGGGCAAACTATCTATAGGTGAAAGAATTTTTAAAATCGGACCAGTAGTTTCGGCGCCTGTTCGATGTTAGTCTCGTTACGATTGATTAATGTTTACAAGACACAAATTAAACTTGTCCAAATAAAAAGTGAAATTCTATCACAGAAATAGTTACTTTATTACATCGTTGGCATCAGCAAAATGTTGGAAAATACTTTAAAAGACTCACAGGTTTCTCATTAAAAATCTCCAGACTACATGACATAGAAATATTATTGTATAATACTTTGGTGGAACATAGAGGGGAATTGGTCTCATACTTATTTCTTTTTTTTTACAACATTGAGTTGTAAAAAATAAGATAAGAAAATAGTTTTGAAGATATTTTTATGTGAACTGTTTAGGTGGTAAATCTCCAACGACTCCCGTGAGCAAACGTAAGCAGAACTCTAGTCTGCCGGCGCCCGCCGCCCTCACCAAGTCCCGCTCACACGAGTCACAGCTGTCCGTCAGACCGGACGCCTCAGATCTCAGGTACTCGTTGACACTCATTCAACTTTTGATCATTTGGTTCCCGTTAATTTATTAGTCAAGATCATATGGCTTTGAAATCGAATTGAAAACATTTCAGTGTTTGATATTGATATATCCAGTCTTGATAGCATTTCGTACTTGTTGAAATATGTGTTTTTTTTTCTGTATTTTGTTTTAAATCAGATATTTGCAATGGAAAAGCAGTACTTAATTTTTTTGCCTATTATATTTGAGGTTATTGATTTTGAAGGTAGGTAATGAAAAGTATAAAATTATTAATAACAACATTAGGTAATGATAAAATTATAATCAACTCATGGCAAATAATGCAAAAATTATTAATAAAAAAATAAGCAATAACCGCTCGCTCGGGGCTCGAGCTTTCGTACTATTTGGTTTTATGCTATTATTGTACGTAAAGGCAGTACTACACCTTGTCCTATATAGAGTATATTATATTAATGGTCGGATGGTAACCCTGTATTGTTTGTGTGACGGCGGCAGTGACAACAGTCAGTCGTCAGCGATGGGCACGGCGGAGGGCAGCCCGCCCTCCTCGCCGCGGCTACCGGAGCCCGACGCCACGCCGCCGCATCGGCCGCACTGCAACAATCACGTCAGTACCATACATCACGATATATACCTATCATGACTCTCACCGATGTACATGAGCGAGGTGGACACATTTCGAAACATCACAAATGTTGGTCAATCATCTCTAATCACGATCTGGGTTTAGTGGCGGCGTACCGTATACGCTGCGTAGGCACCTATTAGCAATACATCTCATTGGTGACACCTTTGCTTAACATGAACTGATATATTTTGACAATATAATTGATACATTTTGATTTATTTGACATTTATTTCGGTTTATTATTATCTTGACATACCTACTATTCCATTATTTAGTTATTATTATGATATTAACATACATTTTAATTGTAAAGTTAACTAAGTAACATTATTTTTTATGCTATATTTAAATTGCTGGTAACGCACCAGCATTGTTAGTCTGTAAGTCAGCATATTGTGACTAAATAAATAAATACAGATCCGAGTAGCGCGCCATCGCCTGACCCATGACGGTCTGACGACCCAAGAATCATTATTATACAGGGTTATTTGTAAAACACCAACAACCTATATAAAAATAAATAGCCAAAATCATAAAAAATAAATCGTTCTACAAACACTGATGGCAGTTTAATATTCATACAAAAAATTAATTTAATATAACGTTCAAATATTAAAAACTAACAGTAATACCAATTTGTAATTCACAAGTATCTTTGCTTATGAAAATACATAAACATATGAATATGACGGCAGTGCAATAGAAACTTAACATTTTTTTTGTTTTCAGTATTGTGTTAAAAATCGTATATAAAATATTAACTATGATCTACCCCTTCGATATTGGTGATATTTCAAAATTTGCCCTGTATATTGGGACAGTTTTGTAATAAACATTACTGTTACCTTACGGTTGCAGTCAAGCGATAATTGAATCATTCTTATTGGGCGACATTTGCCGTGCTTGTAATTAAGCCAGGTAGATTAATGAGCCATATTAGTTATCATCATCCCTTTTACGTCCCCATTTAGACCTTTTGTGTGTCTTAGGCCTTTCTTATGGATGGTTAAGAAGGATTGGCCATGACCCTTCACGCTGGTACAATGCGGATTATAGGGAATTAACGTCTTGGAAAAACAGTTTGGACCAATGATTTAACGTACCATCAGAAGCACAGTAGCTCGAGATAATTTTTTTTTGGTCACCCATCCCGTTACCGGCCATTGCGAAAGTTGCTTAACAACTACTATCGCGGGCCGCGGCGTTTATCCACAACGCCACCGAGTAACTATCAGTTTATTATCTCTTGTTCGTGTTTAGGTAGCAGCGATAGGCGCTCCTCGGTCCCCTCGCACTCCAACAGTGAGCCGTTGTATGGCTCACGATATCGCCCACCGGTTCACTAAAACTTTCAACATGATCGCCACATGCGACTACTGCGATAAACAGATGCTATTCGGCTCTGGACTCAAGTGTAAGGAGTGCAAGTTCAAGTGCCACAGGTCAGTATTTTGATACTTTGATGAAGATCATTAGTATCATCTGATGATCAACATCATCAACCATTTTACGTCCCCACTGCAGGGGCTCAGGCCTTCCTTATGGATGGTTAAGGATGCCCCACGACCCGCACGCTGACCCAATACCGATTGAACGGTATTAACGACTGCAAATGCAGCCGGGACCAACGGCTTAACGTGCCTTACGAAGCACGGAGTAGCTCGAGATAATAATTTTTCGGTCACCCATCCCGTGACCGACCTTTGCGAAAGTTACGCTACAACAACGAGCGCGGGCCGCGGCGTTTATTCACTGCACCGCCGAGCTACATTAGTAAATTTGATGTATACTTATATAAAGTATAACCAATAATAATAAATAAATACAACCAATAAAGTAACTTATGGTTTGATGCATTTTTTATATACCTTTATTTTGATGCTAATTTATTGACATGCCTTTACATTTCTTTTTCTCAAACATAAATAGATCTTATTAGAAAGAAATGAAGTATGTATATCAATAATTTATTTATATCTTTACACCATAACAGCAGTTAAAGTTAAGGTTTATGCCAATTTTGATATTATCTGTCACACTGCTTTTAACATTGACTGTGGAATGTATAGCACCATCCTCGACCTTGGCATAGTAAAACAATAGCTTTGACCAGCGAAATGGTTTGCAGTAATTATAAAATGATATCTCATTATTATTAGCTTAACCTGCCGGTTAACATTATAACATGTTTCTTTTTTTAAAAGTGGGTTGGTGCAACTAACCGATAGATATGAACTATAAGAAATACTTATTCAGTAAAAAACCCAATAAATGCAATCGATTTCGAGCTTAATATAATATCGCTTAAGGTGAAATATCAATTGCATCAATTCAAATTTCGAATGAACAAAAATGTATCTGTAGTAAATATGTGTTCTAATAAATTCTATTTTGTTACAGAGACTGTGAAAGTAAAGTTCCTCCGTCGTGCGGCCTACCACCCGAATTTGTGGTAGCGTTCAAAGAAAAGTTTCATAAAGAATGTAAGTTCATTTTCTTTTCAATATTACAATGGTATTATCTACTATAAAACAGTATAAGGGGCCGTCCATTAATCACGTGATGTTTTTTGTGGCATTTTTTAACCTCCCCTCCCCCATAGTGATACATGGTGAGGTTTAAGACTAAATGCGAAAAACTTTATGAATATTATTATTTTATGAACGTTTGACGAAAAAATAATTTTATTACACTTATTTACGCCGCTTTTCGGTTGAGTATCGCGCGTTTGACGAAAAAATAAATACACGTGATATGTTACTTCACCCCCCCTCCCCCCTTGTGATATATTGTGACTTTTTTATGGACCCCTCCCCCCATTTCGAGCCTCACGTGATTAATGGACAGCCCCTAATGCATTTAACAGATAGTTAACTGAATCTGTTTTATTTAATTAGAACTGTAGTAGATGTTTGTTACTGAAGATTGTCTAAGCTGTTTCAAAAAAAGATCAAATAAGAGATCAATCAATGTTTGGAGATCATTACATTGCTTCTAATTTACTCATAGCGGAGAAAATTATTTTAATGTATGAAGTAATATCTAATTTAAACTTTGTTAAGTAGAAAATGCAATAGGATATGTTAATGCAACTTTTTTTCGCTAGATTGTTTACTACATGTATTAACTAATGTTTGTTTTATACATCAAGTGTACCTCATAGAATAAGAAACAAAGAATAAAGCAATGGGGATTACAGAAGCCATTTATTATTGTTTTAAAAAGAGCGTCACTTTCTACCCGTTGCACAAACGTCCATTAAAATTGACATTATTTTAAAGCGATATTATTGATACAATTTTTCAAATCAATGGACGTTTGTACAACTGGGCGTATGCATTATTCTTGCATATTCGGATGCAAGAAGGAACGGAATATTCTTAAAATAAAACGCATAAGATAAACCAAAAAATGGTCGAAAATATTTGTTGGTTTATTTTATGCGCTGGTGCTGCCATCTAAGCCGAGTTTCGCGTGGTATTCTCTGTTGCGAAGTGCAAGATGAAGTGACACACGTTTACACGTTTTTTTACTTGTCACTTCGAATGTGCATTTGCTACTTACTGGCTGATTTACACATAATTAAGTAGATTTTTAACCTAATTTTAAGTGATTAAGTATTTGTAAACACACAAATAAGTAATAAGTAAAAATTTAGATAATTAACTGATATGACTTTAATTGAATTTAAAATTCTACTTAATTACGCGTAAACCAGCTATAACAATGTGTTAATTGTTCAGCATTAAAAAAGTATCGCACATTGTGTGCAGCGCCGGGCTCGGGCGGGTACTACGGCTGCGGCAGCCCCGTGCAGGCGCGGGGCGCGGCGGGCCCGGGCGCGCGGGAGGGGGGCGGCGGCGCCGGCGGAGGGGGCGGGGGAGGATCCTTCCTCGCCTCGCTCACGCACCGCCCACGCTGGCGGGCCACGCCCACCACACACCATCACGTACGTATACTTTAAAGCTCCTCCTCCTCCTAAAATAAGACTCGTCGGTTCTTCGGTGACTTAAACTCAAAAACGTATGTACTCTAAACGTACTCTTACGTGTACATGACGCCCGAGGGCCTCCTGTTATCGCACATCGCCTACAGCTTTACAAGTTCGGCCCCATATGGAGTACTGTTCTCATCTTTGGGCAGAGGCACTCCAATACCAGCCTCTCCCTCTAAGACCGCATTCAGCGGAGAGCAACTCGAATCGTCGATTGCCGGGACACTTCAAGTCGGCTTGACCCACTGGCCCTGGGTAGAGATGTTGTTGCACTGTGCATCTTCTATCGCATCTATTACGGGGAACGCTCCGAGGAATTTTTCGAACTCATACCTGCAGCTACTTTCCGCCTTCGTTTCACGCGACAAGAAATCCACGCCCATCATTTGGATGGTTGGAAGTCCTCAACTGTGCGATTTTCTAGAAGTTTCCTCCCTCGCACAGTCAAACTCTGGAATAGTTTATCGCCAGCGTATTTCCCCTATCCCATAATATATATAAACAAAATATATATATTTGTCCTCAAACAAATATTTGGAAAAATTCGAATTATTCTTATAAATTGCTTAAGTTAATATGGAAATATGCGATTCTTTAAAATCTGTTTATAGGAATTTAATAGAATTTTAAGTGTCAGGCTAGTAGACATTTTAAAAATTGATCTATCGCATTCCCTTATTTCCGATACTACCGGGCCTAAACTTTACAGTAAACAATACAGAAAAAAAAGTCTTTATGTATTCTTAATTATACATATTAACTAATTCGCTTGGACCGGTTTTTACGAACTACCCACAAAAGCCGTGATCTAGTCACCAGGACGCTCACCCCCATCACCTTTCACAGCCTAGACTGATAAAGTGACATTGATACTATTTGTTCGGTTTGTTATAGAACGGCGCGAACCCGTCCCCGCGCGGGTGCCACGCGGCGGGCGGGCACGGCGCGCACGGGCCCGACTCGTCGTCCAACACGTCGTCGTGCAACAGCTCCACGCCCTCCTCCCCCGCGCTGGCCGCCGCCCCCGCGCCCGCGCCCGCCCACCACCACGCCGTGGGCGGGCACCCGCACCCGCACCCGCACCCGCACCAGCCCGCGCCGCATCACAAGCAGCAGTTCCACTTCCCAGGTGAGACGGGCTACTGCGCGAGCGAATTGATATGGCGCCTGCCCGCATATGATGCAACTCTGACGACCGAAGTTGTTTACAGAACTCTGTAGGTCAGGTGGTTTTCGCGCGGTTTTGGTATTCTGTAACTCATCATTACATAGTATGAAACAAAGTGGCTTTCTCTGGCCCTATGTATGTAATATAAAGCATTTTTTTTTTCTAAAACTTAAAAAGGCTTTTGTTGAACTTGTTTTACATTTCATATCATAACGTAATCTGGAAACAAAGTATAGATTATTTAACTATACACTTAGGAGCCGAATAAGATTGAATTATACCCAGTTATAGATAAAATATGAATAATATATTATTCGTCAACATCGTACAGTCATTTATATGATATAACTAAAAAATATTTCAAAATCTAAAAATAAATCTTAATACACATTTTATAGTTTAAATTTAAATGTGGCAACTTTTGGAAGCAAATTAAAAACTGAAGTAGTCACAAATAATATTAAAGAATTATATTATATTCGCTTTTTTGATAATATAGATTTTAAGCTCAATCATTATTTATTTACATAGATGATCAACAGCTGACAATACAAAATGAGAAATCTTAACATAAATAAATTTGGTGTAAAATGAAAAAGGTTAAATATATAATACAGATTATTATTATATCTATACAGAGGTAAAACCGCCTGTGTCGAGTCCGAATCACACGTCCTCCATACAATCTCCCGCTAGGATCTTGCAGGACAGCAAGGACGAGCTCACGTCTAGTGTCAAAAGTGGTGAGTTCATTTTCATTCTCCTACAGACACTTGTGCCCGTTTTTATTAAACTTAGTAGTTGCCCAAATCTTTCGCATAAATATTTAGCAAACGCCTAAGTTGAAAATGAATTTTATCAATAACTAGGAACCACCTAATGTCATAAAGCAACGTGTAAACTTATGACGTGCAATAAGCGGCGTCTTGTAATAATAAATGTGTTAAGGGATTAAAGTTTTTTTTTTTTTAAGTTAATTTAGGTGATTTGTAGGAGTAGGCGTTTTTAGTTAAGCTATGCTTTGTTCCGGGTTAGTGAAAACGGGTGCTTATACACTTATTATGAATAATTATGAGTGCATATCTAGTGCATATGCCAAAACTATAGTTCAGTTTGATAAGCACAAAATTTTATATAAAAATAATTGGTTGTTTTTGGGACCTTCCTACCACAAACATAAAAACGAAACCCCACTAGAAGTACTTGCTTGTCAGACTGCCACAGCTGATTTACTGCGAGGCAGTTGTCCAAAGTAAATAAATGGATTTTAAACACGGCAAGGCTTATTACTTTAGGGGGTAAATTAGAAATAAAAAAAAAATTGCAAGTAATATTGTCTAACATGTCGAATGAAAGAACTTCGATATAAATAGTTTGAAGTAATTGAAGGACTTAGCCAAAATAAAAGTTCCCCTATAGAATATATAAGTTAGTTATTTACTTATGTATTCTATACTACTATAGATCTTAAATTTCAATATTTGTGCGGTTGGTTTTCGTTATTAAATCTACAGGAAAAATTTGTAGTAGTGCACAAAATTTAATACATATTTTGTTCCCTACGACGTTTCATATTCACATTCTTGGTCTCTCTTTTTTCCACATCGGCGATAAAACATAACCAATAATGTCTATAAACAGATTGCTACTTATAAGTACCTACAAAGTACAGAAGAAGCTATAAGATGTCTTTACCATTATGTGAGTTGGGTGTTATTTATTCAGAATTCAATGTTATGTAATACTGATGTTATATAGCAGATAGTTCCCGCTGCGTGTCGCTAAGCGGGTCCGGTTCTACGGACAGTGGTGGACCACAGCGGGCCGACTCATTGGACCGCGCCAACAAACAGGACTCCAGGTGGCCCAGACAGAATAGCGTGAGTTCATTTAATTATACTTGACTTTATTTTGTTCAACTCAATAGGGTGACGACAGGATAAAAAAATAAATTATATTTAGTCTGTCAATCAGATAATAGAAAAATATTAGATACGTATTTATATTCTTAGACTTAAGGCTTAGATAACAGGCATTAAAGTTGAGGGGTGGTGGCTCGCTACGTCACAGTCTTGTAGAAAATGTACAAAAGTGTGATGTCATGTGTCATTTTAATTCAACATATCGGAATTAATTGATTAGGATAAAAATAAAAAATATCACAAGTGGTGCAACGAAGATTTTATTATAGATACATAGAAAAACTAGGTACTGAAGAAGATAGGACCAAATGAGTGGGTCATGGTTAGATAGTAAACTGAAAGGTTCTGCGCTAACCAACTTATACACATGTGACATAATTATTAACGGTAATATTCACAATGATTCAATAATGACATGGATTTAGAAAATATCTTGAGCGCATTTCTCTTTTCAGTCAAGAGACGATCTGAATAAATGGTAGGTATAAAAAGTTCATATTCTATAAGTTTACTTATAGATAAAACTTTTAACGAACTGAGTTGTGCAAATAATGTACTAATAATAACTAAAAATGTAATAAAATTGAGATTAAAATTCATATCTGTATTAAGAGATAAAATTATGCTTCAATTTAATTTACTAACTTCTCTTTTTTAATTAATAAAATGTTATACTGGACAAGACTCAAAAATAGAAATGAAAAGAATGCTTTGAAAAAGTTCTAACGTAACTAGGAATATAATCTGTCACCGAGGACAACAAAGAACGGTCCATTTCTTACGTTAAAAATAAAAGCTTGCGCTCGCCCTTCCTCGGTAAGTGATGGCAGTAATTGCCGACACTAATTACAGTTGAACGCCAGTTGTAAGTATGATAACATACGTCGTAGCGATAAAGCTTGCGCTTACAAATCGAGTAGGGCTGTTGAAATATCGATACTTTCTATTCATATATAGATTTTATTTATTTTCAATATGATTGTGATAAACGTAGCATTGAAGTTTTTCAAATGTATCGCATTATTTTGTGAATAAATTTAATATAACAAGAATCATCTATTATTATTACTATATTACAATTGCAAATAATATCTAAAGTTAATTCATAGCCTAATATTATATCAATTCATTTTAAAACATAATATATATTTCTGTATGTATCTCTACATACCCTGCAAGAAAAGGTATTGCAGTATGTAATAACGAATTAACAAAAAAAAAATGAATAAAACTCGGCTACTTATATTATTACTAAATAATCATAATATATTTATATTAAACGTCGATAATGGGATCTTGATTGATCAATCTCTCATTTCTATGGCACATTTGTCGTAGCCATTTTGTTTCGATATCGATAATTTGCATAAAAATATACACCCAACACTTCAATTATTGTGTACGATGGTTGACACTGACTGACTCATGTCTGCATTCTAACGATGATATTATACCAGGAAGTTGATATTATTCGAAGCTCCTGTGAACGTTGTCTGGGTTAAGGCAAAATGTATAGTGATTTATGAGTGACATTGTGGAAGTGTTTTTATTTAGTGTGCTCTGAGTGAAAAAAATACACCATGAATGATTTTATACTCCGCCGTAGGCTGTTTGAAGAAGTATGTCTATAGTAAAATATTGTGATTAATTATGATAATTACATATTTTTTTCATAACGTCAAAAATTAAGATTTTTTCGTGGGTACTAAATACACGTGATTTGATTGTGTATTTGTATTTAAATAAAATGTAGATTTTAGACGACATTACATAAATTTCTCATGTCTCAAATTAAGTAGCTAAAGCACTTGTATTATGAAAATCAGTGCAAGCGATGGTAACCGCAACACCCAGATCCGAGAGAAAAGTTCATTTTGTATAGTAACTTGATCAAGATTCCCGGTCGGGAATCGAGTCTCAAATATGGCGACAACTTGAAACCGGCATACGAATCACTTGGCTCTTATACATTTTAATACGGGTATATTTCATTTAAGCAGTAGAACATGAAATATTCACTATGAAAAATTTCATCTTAGGTATTTCTTTTTTCTGTTCAGTTGTCGATGAAGGAATGGGACATACCATACGACGAGCTGAAGTTATCGGAGGTGATCGGCAAAGGACGGTTCGGTATAGTGTACCGCGGCAGTTGGCACGGCGCGGTGGCCGTCAAGTTGCTCTACGTGCAGTCGCTAGGAGATGACTGCGTGCCGCTGGATACCTTCAAACACGAGGTACGGAAATTATCAGGACTTGTAAGCCTTTTAAAACCACCACCACCAGTCTTAAAATGAATAAAAAATTACATTAAAAAAAATAAAATAAAAAAAATCATGTTTTTTTTTCTGAGTTCTCTGTGACTTACAATCACGAAATTAATATATGTTATGCTCCTTTGTGTGCTCTATCACCCATAAAAATTGCGTGAAAAAAAAGTTGGTGCAACATAACGAAAAAAAATTATATGTGATTTCTGTCTTATGGTATACCCCCTGTATTATAAGGTTTTCACATTACATCATTGTTTTTTTTTTCGAAATTTCACATCAGCTTGTGTTAAAACATAAGTAACTAGTCTTAAGAGATGGGATAATAGTTAAAAAAGGAAATGAAAAAAAAATACAGCCAGTGTTCAATACCTATTATTATTACTTTTTCGTGTCTATCAAAATACAAGAAACAAAATATTAATCATCGTCACTGTTGTAATTAATTACAATCGGAACACTTTGAGTCGCAAATAACTTAGTTAGGACCTCAGCAGGACGTACGATTTTGGACAAATATCGTCCTATATGATAGATAATAAAATAATAGCTGCTACATGAGAACAGCATCCCACTGTACGCTTGCCATTGGGGCAATCACAGCAATAACGAAGAATACTATTGTAGTCATTACCTTCGGAAATATAGTGAATGTAAATTCGATAGACTTTTCATAAATTAAAATTGTTAATATTTTTCGGAAATTTTATAGAAACCTGTATTATCCATTTTCACACACAAACCTATTGGCTACTGACTGTTTTGGGAAAAGTATTTTAAAACTTTCATATGACCATATTTTTCTTCATATTCCTGCCAAGCACTGGTTGCACTCGCAACAAAGATGTCGACATTTCTTTTATTGTAATGTGACGTCACAAGGTGTACAGTAATGGCCGCCTGCATTTCGGTTCTTGTCATCCGTAATATGTAAATTGTAAGTTAATCTCTTCACATTTTGTCTATACAAATTTCATCCAGTTGTCATTTTATTTTGGCCACGAAGACGTATCTAACTTTATATGAAAATTCAATAGAAGGATTTATATTTAAGTAATGGATAAGGTGTTACATTTGCTTTTAACGACTAATAAGTATAGATAAGAAATCGGGATAATTGTTACAGGGCATGGGTTACTTGCACGCACGCGGCATCATTCACAAGGATTTGAAGACGAAGAATATATTCCTTGAAAACGGGAAGGTTGTCATCACAGACTTCGGCCTCTTCAGCGTCACAAAACTATGCTTTGGCAACAAGTGAGTGCTATTTAGCGATTAATTTTTTTTTAACTTATTTTTGTTTCGTATGTGTGAAGCTATATTTCTGTGTATGGCATAGAAAAACACTTAAGTAATTATTACCTGGCGCCTGAGTATGATAGAATGTTAGCCATAGTTATAACGGTGCCCGTGGTGTCAGTGCTCGCGGCGACAGCCTGGGCATCCCAGCGGGGTGGCTGTGCTACCTGGCGCCCGAACTGGTGCGGGCGCTCCGCCCCCACGCCTCCCTTCATCTGCCCTTCTCCAAGGCCACCGATGTCTACGCCTTCGGGTGAGTCACTGTACCTCTTACTTATTATTTATGTACTTGAATACGACATTGAAAGAAATGTTTTAATAATCTGCGAGCTGATCAGGCATCCTACGTTTGAAAATACAGGTTTCTGTTGTATGTTAGAAACGAAATTTAAAAAATACAACAGATTAAGCATATATATGTATGGGGCCATTATAATTATTTAAAATAGGTAAAATTTAATCAAAAAAGGACTTTTTTATCATGTATTTTATATTAAATCTATGACATAAGTGAAGTAAGTATTTATATTAATTATCAATAAAACTAGTTTTGTTTAATTTTAGCAGTCTTGACAAAATAATATCAGTCTAACTTTATATCGTATGTACATAGATATTTACTTATGCTTATGATTGTTTAATTATTACAATCAAAATTTGAAACTTAAATATAAAGTTTAGCTGTTTAACTATTGTATCACAAATATTATTTTGGCAGTAGCTTATTCATATTCTATTGTTTAATTATGAAAGAAAACATATTTTTCAAAAAACGAAAAATAATTTCTTGTTAGTTAAAGTACTATTCTCATTACTTCTCAGTACATATTATGTACATAACGAAAAAAAAACTTATTAAAAACACTTAGACTCCTTTTAAGTGTACGTACAAATAAATACATAAGTAATTTCAACATATAACAACAACATCCATTTCTTATAACTTACAAAACATTTAAGTACTTCTTTTTTGTCTAAAAATAAAAAATATCGACAGTAGTTGTTTTATTGGAATAAAAAAATATATTACATACTATTTAAAAAAAATAGTGGTAAACTAGACTCGATTGGTATAAGAGGTGTGGCATATCTATGGATTGAGTCATATCTGATAAACAGAAAGCGGTCTGTCATAATTGTTAAGATGGTAAATAATGGAAATGGTTTTATATTCACCAAATTATTGCGAAATTAAAAAAGGCGTTCCCCGAGGAAGTATTTTGGGACCTATATTATTTTTGCTATTTAAATAAAGTAAATAATAATTCAATATTGAATCATGAATTTGATATAATACTATTGATAAAGTGATAGAATAGCTAGAAATCAACAATCTATAATATATTTGACAATAAATTTAAAGAAATCAGTTTTTGTTCAATCCAATAGATCAAAAAATATTAAATAAAATTTTAAAATAAATATTAATAAAATCAAACAAGTACTACATACAAAATTCTTAGGTGTTACCGTCGATGAAAATTTGAATTGGAAACAACATCTTGACAACACATGTAACAGGATAAACAAATTTGCTTGTACACTGGGTGAAGTTGTGAAAGTAACGAGTAAAAAAACATAGAATATTACACAACTTTAACACTTTTAATTATTATTGTCGCTTCTCATACTAAATGTGGGTAATCGTCTAACATAATACCTGTTGTATAAATCTGTATGTATGTTTTGTGCATAGGACGGTGTGGTATGAGTTGTTGTGCGGCGAGTTCCCATTCAAAGGTCAACCACCCGAGGCCATCATATGGCAGGTGGGCCGCGGCGTCAAACAGTCCCTCGCCAACATGCAGGCCTCCAGAGATATTAAGGTCAGAATTTATGACACTAACATCTTAAAAATAACTGTCTTGTTCCATATCAATTAAGTCTCACTAGACCTTCATAGTATTTGAAGCATCCATTTTGACTACATTAAAAAATAATGTTTGTATTGTTTCTCTTTTTATTACTGTGGCAAATATAATGGATTTTTTAAAATATTTTATTGTATGTCGGTTATTATTATTATTTATGCTATTAAAAGTTGAAATAGATAGTAATTTAAATTTCTATTTGAAGTTTAATTGCTAGTTAACAATGAAGTGTATTTTTTACTTAGTTAATTTAGGTCAAATAAAAGTGAAGTTAGAAAAAAATCCCATAGAGCTGAAATTGGTATAGACAAAAATGTGCACACACAGTGCACATGGACTGTCACAGATCACTTATATTGCAAGTATTCAAAGAACTACACACGGCTTGCATATTATGTAGAAGATGAGTTTTGCAATCACTGTAATCCCACGAATGGCGATTAGTGCGAAAAAAGTGTCAGAACAATTTTTGTAGATAATTGTATGATCTAAAACTTTAGTCTAACCTATTTTTACGGTTTCAGAGGAAATGGCATTATTTTTGACCTTTGATAACATTTGTTTGTTTGAGTAGGATTGATGAGGAATTTTACAATTAATTGGTAATTTCTTATTAAACGTCTATACCAATTTTCGGCTCTATGCGAATTTTGTCTAACAGTTTGTTTTGTCTATTTTTACTGGACTAGTTAATAAAATTCAATATCTATAAATTGTCTAGCTTTCTTTAGTACTATAAATATCGATATAAAATTTTCCAATGTTTTACTTCATCGAAAGTGATAATTAATATTCTTACAGGATATATTGATGCTGTGTTGGGCGTATCGATCCAGTGAACGCCCAGAATTCCCCCGCCTACTGAGCACATTACAGAAACTACCGCGAAAGAGACTAGCGCGCTCTCCCTCCCACCCGGTGCATCTGTCTCGGTCTGCTGACTCAGTGTTCTGAGGGCGGTTTGGCCTCGCGTTCTCCGCACACCTGCGGGCAACTAGCGCCCTCTCCCTCGCACCGCATACACTCGTTGCACTCTTACACAGCACCTTGCAGAATCTTTAAAAGCGCTGAGTAAGTTGTGAACGTGAAAAGTTATCACAAGGGGACAGCACTGCTCGAGAACTTAGTCCGAGTAATTGTAACCTGAAAAATATCTACGCACTGAAATACTACTAGTGCTCATTCGCTATCTCTGCCTCCCTCCCGCCTTTATACCTGTCCTGCTTTTCCAATGGTTCTAGTCGAAAAAGACGAATGCGCTGGTAGCATGTGTCAAATGTATGGAATTTTTTATCATCATTCAAATGAAAACAACATGAATATTGTGAACATTTTTTCTCATATTAATTTTAGTTTATTGCACTAAAATAAGTCAATTCTGTAACGTTAGTAGGCGCGGAGAGGTGAAATATGTTTAGAGCGTTCGAATTTAATACTCTATGATAAATTAGATACAGCTCATAATGTCCTAGTCAATAGCTGAAATATCACTTCCTCTGAATGTGGTATAAAAATCAATCCGACGCGGTCGGATTACGTCCGATCATAATAGTGTATGATAATATCAACGATATCGAATTATAATTTTGAATTTGTTACTATACTGAAGTTATAGTCTCTGAAATATCAAAATTGTGTGTAGACATCACGAGGGGGCAATATTGACAGTACTTACTTATATTACCTTCGTACATAATCTTCATACCGTTGTCTCACCTAAAACTGACTTTATTGTCGTCCCATTGTGTGCAATAATTAATTTGTAAATACTTTGTTATATTTTAAAATTAGCATTGTCATCCATCGCTACTTAGTGTACAATTTATAAATAAAATGAAAAAAAAAAGTTATAAGTATGTTCATAATTATATAGTTAATAAAAAACTATTGTAAGTAAAAAAAAACTTGATCTCCGAATAAATTATATTTTCGTATTAAAAAAAATGAAAAGTTGACTGCTTTGTTGATAATGTAAATTTTGTACAGTGTTACGAATTTTTGCTGTGATTGCGCCTTTGTTTGCACTGAACTTTGGCTGAAAACGTGACAGATTGTATATAAAATGGTTATTTATTTTCTCATTGATATAGATCATAAAAGTTTTTATTGAGCGAGCGGTTTTTTTATTATATAGTATTATAATCCAATACAAAGCTCAGTGCATATCAATGTCTGAAGAAGTCTAGTAATAGTAAAAGGTTAAATTTATAATGTACCTACTGATTCAGTAATAATTATTTCCATATTATTGGAATGTATAAATTCAGTTATGTCACAACCACATAAAAGTTAAACTGTGGAGTATTTTGTAAATATTGAAGACATTCCTTTCCGTAGGTTGTTGAAGTTTTTAAACTTTGATAGTAACTATATCGAATTGTAAGTATGTAAATTCATTTGTATACTTTTAAAGTTACCACTTTCTATTATATGAATTTTTAAAGAGGCTTACATTTTAGACCTAGGCTGATTATAGACGCAAGGTAAATTGTTTCCTTTAAAATATGCTCTTTGCATTTACATTCATATGAAATTACATTTTAAAACATTTGATTTGGAATCTATTTTCAATATGGTAATAAAATTTACATTTATATTACAGTTATAATGCTCATGATTTAATTGTTTACTATTTTAAAAAGGTAATTATTCTGGTCACTCAACTCCTATTAAATTAATAGTTGTTGTAAATTAATAAATAAAACTTTGCCGAGGTGACATTGCCACAATAATATGTATATAAGGATGTGGCATTGCTTGATCAACTGTATTATATAAAATATTTATTCAATTAGGTACAAAAAAAATGGTTGCAGTCAGTTGTAGTTTTACATATGTATTGAGATTTCAAGTGAATTAGGTTAGTTGCATTTGCCAAAATAAATCTCCAATCACTGTTTGTTGTTGTTTTTTTATACAGTATTTATCACTTTACTGTTAGTATAGGTGGAAACTTAAGTGTTTTTGATACTGCATGATTGTTTGAAACAGAATGAAACTGATGTTTTTGTTATGAGATATGACAAAAACAACATACAGGTGTAAACATATGCAATTGATATGTCTGTTGTGTCATCATAACACAAATATATTTGAGACTTAATTCCTTTCCTTTAAACATTCATACCCTTACTAATAAGAAACTTATCTGTTGTGAAGTTACACATTCAATCAAATAAAAATACAACTTACATATAGATTTATTCACATGAATTCAGTGTCACTTTTAGTTACATAGGTAGGATTGGCAATGTCTAGAGACAGGAATAGAGTAAAAAATAACACTAGTACATTTCTTATTATTTTAGGGCTTTTACAGAATAACTTTTTTTATTTACCTTGTTGTATGAATTATAATTAAAACAAACAAGGCTTACTATACAACTTGCTAGATTTTTTTTTTTTGAGAAATATGAATATTAAATATTAAGTCAACAAATGTTATTACAATCAAAGCTATTGACTGCACATTCGTTATGGAGCTGTTGCTGAAAGTACAATCAAGAATCTTTATTTCTGCATCAATATGTTTGCATTTTAAACTTGCATGCAGGAGAAACTAATCAAATCAATTTCATAAAAGGTTATAAAAATCAATTTCCGGCAACAGAAAAACAATATCTTACAAATGGACTGAATTCCAAAGCATAGAAGTTGTTACCTGGAATGATTCAATAAACACCTTTATTTATTTCATCTTATAGTTTTAGATGTGATGATGAAGAAGGATCAAATATAATTTGAATTAAAACACATTTTTATTCTTTGTTAGATATTTATTATGATACATGTCCAGCAAGTAGACTGGCTATATTCGTACACATGCTCTTGATTTCACTATCACTCAAATATTCACATCCTAGAATAGCATTACCTACTGCAATAGTTTCCCTCATAGTTTTTGCTTTTATCCAAATTCTTCCGTTCATACCTACGGCTAATTCAAATGGCCATTCATTTTTTAGTGAATTTAGAAGGGGACAGTTAGGACTTAAAACTTTTCTAACTAGGTTCAGGGAGCATTTGAAGACGAAGCCATCATTTAATACACCCAATCTTCCTTTCTTACCATGTGAGTCTACACAAACAAGTTCAGGTTCCATGTCTTTGCTTGCTATGAGCATTTTAGCATATAACACATCACCTACTTGTACTTCAGGTCTATTTTTCTTTGTTGCTCCTTCAAAAGAAAGATAGGATAAGGTTGCTGTACAACTTCCACCGACATCTACGCGGAAGGTATCTCCAGCCTTCTGCACAACCACTCCTATAACATTTTCCGCTCGTGATGGTACATATCGTTTTTGATAGCTATCAACCCAATATGTATTCGGGGCACGTTTCCTCAAAACTCCAGATTTAGTTATGTAAACTTTATCGATTTCTTTTCGGAGTCCTGGGCCTAGAATAACTTTGCTTTTTTCACCGGCGTTGACAATATCTTCACAGTAGTCTCCAGGCAATACAACGTCATCAATGGAAACCTTCATAGTTAATGTCGCTTATGTTATTCCGATTCATATAACAACATATATATTAGAATAAATTCTTATCGTTATCTCAATTGATTCGACATGAAAAAAAATAATTTGGTGTACCTAATAATTTATTTTATAAATAAAACGACTGCAACACATGACAACGTGACAATGACAGTTAGAGATGTAAAAATATCGATTATTATAAAATCTGTTTTTATTAAACAATTGAGGTACACAAAAGTATTTTTGTGGATCGTAGATTATCTAAAGCGATTATAATATGACAATTTTTATAACAGTATAGTTTTTGAATTACGGGAGAAAGAAAGTATGAAATACTGCGATTTTTAACATTTTTGATTAACAGCTTTAAAAAAATACATGGTCGTCATAAATGATAATTGTAATATATTATTTTATAGATTAATTTTATAACTGATTGCTTAAGGGCACAGTAGTGAGTTTTTACAAATGTATAAATTCAACAAATGTTTATAATGATACTTGCTTCTGTGTTATTTATTTCACAGAGGTCGAATTTCAACCACAAAAAGTCTGGCGCTTTGACTGAACCGTAACTGCGGTGATGAGGCTATATCATTACGTCTATTGATTCAATACTAGTATATTCATAGTTTTGAATGCTGCTAGTAATTGTTTTTGGCCGTAGATTCGTATCTATCCGTACTTATATCGGTGTTTCCATATATGTTGCATCCTTCCTCCTTCTTGGTGTCAGTCAATGTCATTAGAGTATTATTGTTCTGTGGTCATTGCTGTCATTTTTTGTGTCATTTACAGTGTCCATGTGGTTTTGTTTTGGTTTTGCTTTTAGATTTTATAACCATTTTCTTTATTAAATAGATGATATTTTCTGTATGAAATGCCTGCAGTGAATGAAAACGATGTTCTGGTGTACAAAGGCAGTAATTTCTTTCGTCAGAGACTATTGCTGTCGACACTAAGCGGTCGGGCGATAAAAATTAAGGAGATTCGAAGTTCTCACGAGGATCTCGGCCTTCGGGAGTACGAAGTGAATCTAATACGACTTCTAGACAAAGTGACTAATGGCACTGTTGTTGAACTTGGTGAAACAGGAACATCTTTGTACTATCAGCCGGGAATTTTAATCGGTGGTCAAGTTACTCACAGTTGCTGCCCTCAAAGGGGTATAGGTACGTAATTTTGATTATTTAGAAATGAAATTATCTTTATTCAAGAAGGCTATTACAAGCACTTTTGAATAGTCCAAAAAAATTTTTTCCCCTCCTTGATCAGGACGTTTTTTAGCTGACAAGAAGAACAAGCGAAAGAATACCAATTCTTTATCAAAAGTAATCACTTTTACATAAGTCATGTCATTACCAAAATAATATGTATTATCACAATAATAAATACAACTTTCAAAGTCTGTAGGACATAGGTTGAACATATAATTAGTCTTTACAGAACAAAGCAAAGGCTATTAATTCCATGCATTGCAATCCTTAAAATAATTATCAACTTTATAATAGCCTTTAATCATAAGTATGTTCTTAACATGAATTTTAAATTTATTTAAGCGAGGAACCTATTAAGCGAGGTGTACCCCAAGGCTCCATACTTGGACCCCTTCTGTTTATTATATATACGGCTGATTTGCTAGGAGTTATTAAATATTGTAAATACCACTGTTATGCTGACGATGTGCAATTATATATTTCCGGGACTCAACATGAAATAACCCAAACCGTTAGGGAGATGGCGTAGCTATGTGGTGTGATGAGAACAATTTGGTTCTCAATAAGACAAAATCCAAATTTATGGTCCTGGGGTCGAAGAACCAAACTGCTATTATTCTGAACAAACCCCCAAGTATCAAAATTAATGATAGTGACATAGAGCTAGTCAATGAAGCAAACAATCTTGGAATGATTTTTGATAGTCAATTGCATTTCGAGAACCATGTATTGGGTACTGTAAGGAATTGTTTATACCGGCTGAAGGTACTGTATAGGATTTTTCTATCGGAAAAAGCTCGTATCGCCTTATGTGAATCTTTAGTTTTATCAAGGTTGAATTACGGCGACTTGGTTTATGGTCCTCGTCTGCTGTGTAGGACTCAGATTCTGATACAGCTGATTCAGAATGCGTGTTGCCGTTTTTGTTTTAACATCCCACCGCGTACTCATGTCTCGCCTTTTATAAATAACGCCTCAATGTTGAATATGGAGTCGCGCCGTTATCTACATCTGGCCATGTTAATGTTTGACATAATTAAGTCAAAAAATCCGAATTATTTGCTAGATAAATTGTCATTCCGTATTCGTGATTTGAGAGTACCAAGGGCCGTGAGGCCTCCACTGGTTATCCAAGTGCATAAAACTATGGCATTTAGGGGTAGTTTCCGTTATCAAGCGACAAAATGCTGGAACAATATACCACCACCAATAAGGCTACTAACATCTAGATTGTCATTCAAAAAACAAATCTACTTGATATGCAAAAATTGTGAATTAACTCCAGCCAACGCATGATGACGGTTGCTGGTGCTATCTGCCTCTAAATAGGGACAATTTGGTAAAATAAACAAAAATATTATCTTTATGTTGTGCTGTTTATTCATTTTATATAATTTATGTGTACTGTTTTTTCATGCTCCGACATATGTAATCTGTGATAGTGACAATCAATATTTTAAATATTTATTATTCTCACAATTTAAATTTTGCAATTTTTGATTAATTTAATGAATTATTATATTCCATTATAATACTTGTGATTGAATGCAATTTTTAATCAGAGTAATCATATAAAAGTGAAGCTATAGTTTAAGATCGTGCTAGCACTCTGGGTAAAGGCTGAAAATCAGCGCTTTGCTCCTTGAGCAAAGGAATTGTTGAGCTTTTACCCTTTTGAATTGTTGTGGCGCACACGTTAAAGCGGATTTTTTATTGTAATAGAATTTTATAATGCATGTGTGCTATTTTAATAATGCAAATAAATGAATTATCTATCTATATAGCGCGGAATGCTAGCCGCAAAACCCCACAACAATAGACCATATGTCATTACACTATGAAAATAACTAAAATATACCAATCTTGCCGTTTCACCATTTGTCAAGTCTAATTTTCTAACAGCAAATGCTGCAGAACTCAGTATACTTGACAAATTATCAATATGAGCAATCCCATTGCAGTCGGGAATCTAGTGTAATACCAGTAACTTTGTCGATTCCACCAACTCAACTTTTTCACTATTTACATTTATAAGTGTATTAACATGCATCACATTAGGTATTGCAAACTTTATGCATTTCGTTTTATTCGAATTAAGCTTTAAATTATTACTATCAAACCACCATAAGACATTTGTCGAGAGCATCATTTACATCGTCAAAACAATCATTACCCCTCTTAACTTTAAACACTTAAGAGATGCTATCAGCAAATAATACTGTCTAGCACAAATTCTTTGTAAAGTGAGGAAGATCATTAATGTAAATTAGAAAAAGCAATGTTCCTAATATCGATCCCTGAGGGACGCCCATAGTAATGGGTGCCCCTGCAGATTTCGCTTCATTAATTACTACTTTTTGAATTCTAGCAGAAGGCAATTATTTTATTAGATTAAGTGAATTTTTCGTCACACCATAATGCTCTAATTACCCCAACAGTGTTTCATGACTAACGCAGTCGAATGCTTAGATACCTTTTATCATGTATATTGCAGGGGAGAAAAGCTATAAACAATGTTTGGACAAAAACCAGTTAATAATACAATTGTATTTATGATAATGCCTGTTTTTAATAAACTTAGAATTCGCTTAAATCTGTCGCCTAGATATTTAATAATCACCTAAGGTAAAAATGCGTTTCACCATTGACTAGGAAGCATCTAACGAAATTAAGTAATGTCTAAACCATGGGTGGCCAACCAGTCGATCGACTGGTCGATCGCGACTATCCCGACTATTAGTCCAGTCGATCAAAAAATATAAATAAAATCAAAATGTTACATAATTGTGTACGAACTATGCAGTTTCATTTAAGATATTAAGAAGTAAAGTAATTGGTAGATCGTACTGGGTGTCATCAGTGAAAAATCGATCTTGGGTCTAAACAAGTCGGCCACCTCTGGTCTAAACATATAACATTCATTATGCGGCGCCTTGCACTAAGCATTTTCGTATATGACAGGTCACAAATATGTCAAGGGATAATAGAAAAAAAATATTTATTTGAATTAAACTAATCTGCTTAGGCAATTCGTAATATTAGGCGTTTCCTAGTTAATCTATGCCTTGTTCTAGGTTTGTTAAAATGGATGCAACTGGGGTTTCCATCCTGCCTGTTTAATTATGTGTGGTTGTTGTACATAATTATCAGTATAGGCCATCATTATGAAAGTAAAGGTATAGAGAAAATGGGCTATAACCCTTCACACGGGCTCAGTGTGAGTTGATAGGTGTTAACTGCAGATGCATCCGGAACCAATGACTTAACACACCTCCTGAAGCATAGATGGGCTTAAGATAATAATTTGTTCATCACTTCTAATTGGCTTAACTATTATTATATTTATGTTTCAGGTTATTATTTAGAGGTACTGCTAGCATTAGGACCATTTTGTAAAGAACCTCTCAATGCAGTACTGCAGGGAGTTACCCACAATGATCTGGACGTATCAGTGGATAAAGTAAAGACAGCTGCATTGCCTATATTGTTGAAATTCATTTTGGTTGATGATGGCTTGGAGCTAAAAGTTGTAAGAAGAGGTAACTATTTTTTTTGCCATTTCAATAAGCTCTGCTGGGCTTCCTGTTTCATTCTGAATTTATATTTTGATTATTAACATAACGGAGGAGGATGTTGCAAAAAAAAAACAAGAATTTCTTAAGGATACTTAAGGTACTGACAGACATGCTCATTAGCGGCATGCTCACAAACTTGTGTTCCATATACACTTATGACATCAATGAGATTACAAAAAGCAAATGAAAATAAGCATGCTTATAAACAAATCTGTTCAGAAGTGCTCAAAGCACACTCCCTTCCACCTGCGCCTCAAGAAGCATGCTCAAAAATCAAATGGGGTGTCAATTTTTGAGCATGCTTGAATTAAGCATGCTTATTACTATCAATGTTACGACAAACTTGTCATTAATGAGAAAATACTCATTAGTAGCATGCTTTCGTGCTACTAAATACCATCAGTATCTTTACTCATATTATTAAGAACTAAAGTTTCTGCAATATAATCATAAAAAGTCAGTTTTATTCATAAAATACACTTAGATAAAATTAGCATTTCAACTATTGATATAACAACTTTTTCAGGTGCTCCACCCTTGGGTGGCGGAGAAGTTGTATTCCGGTGTCCGGTGCGTCGTCATTTGCGTCCTCTCCAGTGGACCACATGGGGTCTCGTGAAAAGAATAAGAGGGGTTGTTTATGCTTTAAGGGTCTCTCCCACTATGGCTAATAGAGTGGTAGACTCTGCTAAAGGAGTAAGTTGTAAAGAGTATTTATTTATGTCAGTAGAATAAAAAATTGCCATAGAAGCTAGTGAGTTTGTAAAAGGGTGGAAAGAGCTTTGTGATAAAGCCTTAACAACTTATTAATTAATTTTATATAAGCTGGCAGAGAATGCTCAAAACCTTTCTATTATTCTGCATAAAGCATTTAACAAATAATTATCAACGTCAAACTGCAGGAAAATAGGCCTTTCCTATAGATGTAATCAAATAGTTTTTCACACTTGCGCTTAGTGTGCCCACACTAAGCGCAAGTTGGTGTTAATGATTGCAAATGACCAAGCATTTAATGTGCCATTAGAAGCTCAAAGGAGAAGACAATAGGTTTTCGTTCCGCCAGTCACTGTTGAAGTTAGGTACTTAACTTCCATATTGCTGATAACACGCTAATAATTTTTCTATTTTGTATGTCAGGTAATGCTAAAATTCCTGCCCGATGTGTATATTAACACAGACCAGTGTCGCGGCTCTAACGCCGGCAAAAGTCCAGGGTTCGGCGTCAGCCTTGTTGCCGAGACTAACGAGAAGACTTTCTATTGTGCTGAAGCGGTGAGAATATGATCATGACTATTCTTATACTAACAATGGAAGTAGCAGAGTCGCTGCAAATTAGCTTTAAGTATTTTCGCTGGAGACCAATAGAAAGGTCCCCCGTTTTGTTAAAACATTATGTAGGAATTTTTTGTAGACATCTTCAATTCCCTACAGTATACCCTTGCCCGGTAAACTGAACTGCATCTGCTCTAATGGCTGGTTTACTTGTGATTAAGTAGTAAGTAGATTTGTAATTTAATTTGAAGTACACAAAAATAAGAAGCAAGTTAAAATTTAGTTAACTAAGGCAGAAGGATTTTTCATTAAGAATATTTGCTTAACAACTTATGAGATTAATTTTTAACTCTCTATTTATTAATTATATGTATGTGTACACGTACTTAATAATTTAAAATTAAGTTAAAAACTTACTTATCTACTTAATTATGTGTAGACCAGCCATAACTTAGTGACTATTTCAGAAATCATGTGAGGCGGGTAAAGGTGAGATAACTCTACCGGAGGATCTAGGTCGTGAGTGTGCGATGAGCCTGTTGGATGAGATAGCGCGCGGCGGCGCCGTCGACTCCGCCTTCCAGTGGCTGCTCGCGCTGTGGATGGCGCTCGGACAGAAGGATGTTAGCGTATGCATTGTGAGTATACTTACTTTGTAGTTAATAATAATAATACTTTATTGCCATAGCTTGCGCTAAGTCAGTCATGTATTGCAGTTACCAGATTTTGTTTTTGTAGCGAAAATAAAGAAAAAAAAGCAATTATAATAAAAATGTTATATTAACGATAATTAGTTTCAAAATTTGGCGTTTGTGTGCGTGTATGTGCGTGTGCGGCGTGTGTGCGTGTGCGTGTGCGTGCTTGGGTTTGTATATACCTACCACTTCGAATTTGATAATAAATATTAGATAACACCACATACGTTGCTCGGATCACAAATTAAGTGAAATACTTGTATTATGGAAATCTGACACAACGAAGCTAACATAACACCTGGACCATTAGAATAATTTCAAAAAACATCTGTATGAATGTATGAAAATGTAACTAGTTGTGTGAAGCTGATTACTTATAAAAATGGTAGGTGGTAGTGGTATAGTAAACATAAACTCTTGATAAACATATATATATATTATATATACATTTTCAGGTTGGCCCGCTGTCAGATTACACAATAACCTTTCTCCAACATCTCAAAGAGTTTTTCGGCGTCATGTTCAAGTTGGAAGCGGTCACTCACGAGTCTGAGGAGTCTGACGATGAATCGGATCTGCCTATGAGCAACAAGATCAAGATGACCTGTGTCGGTATAGGTTACGTTAATATCAGTAAAAGGACGCTGTAATCTTTATAGAGTGTTTTCATTATATTGCCTAAAGTTGTGTTTAAATGGGCGGGATTTCGGTGTTGCTAGAAACAAAAAACTATTCTTTGTGACTCGAGTTTCATATAGGCTAATGCGTGCGCTTGTATAAAAGGTTATGTATTACTTACACACTGCATTTAATATCAGTGTGGTCTAAACTTTACTGCTGCACTCAGAAACATCATTTAACCTTAATATTTTAACTTCATTAAAATCTCTCGTATTTAATTATATATTTTAATGGAAAATGACGTCGGAGTCTAATGAGCTCATTTTCAATTGGACTTATGTATGCTATAAAATAAAACAAGGAGAAAGTTGCTCTTGGTAAGGTCTTCCACACTAGATTGGCGAATCGATGACATAGTTTTTCATATTTTACAAGTGTAAAATAATTATAATTATTTTAATAATTATAAAAAACCTATGCTTCTAAATACGATATCAATAAAGCCCATTTTCAAATGAAGAAAATAATCTTTTTTATGTCATTTATTAATAACTTATTTATGTTTCTGAGTGCGGCAGTTAGAAAATTATAAGATGTAATTTATTTTTGTACCAACCGAATTAATAAGAGAAAAATTAAAAACAAGTGAAAAGTGACTATTTTTATTTTATCTTTCTTAATAATAAATTCACAATAATTCTTAAATACTATGATGTAAAATAATTAAGGCACATTTCGAAATAACGTTTTGATTTTAATTTTAATCCACACCATAATTTGTTAATGCTATTACACATTCAGGATTAAGGTTCAAATCAAATCATGTCTTATACCAATATAAATAATATTGAGTAATGCCTGATTTTCTTTCTATGGTTTTTACCACCGCATAATGAAGCCAAGAGAATCCATAATTTATTGAATAAAAAAGAGTATAAAATTGGCAGTGATTGTTTCTTTTTTACAAAATAATTATTTATTTTGACTTAGAATTATTTTACTATAAAAATATATAAAAAGCATTTTTTCAGTCAAAAATAATATAGATATCACACCAAAATTATTACTAAAAATGTATGATGTATGGTGACTTATGCATGAAGATTTTGTTAGTATATTTGTGCTAAAATGGAAATATTTTAATTGGCTATAATTTTATAAAGGAGACAGTTATTTAATAAATAGAATGAGTGAAGTAATAATATGTAGCTCATACTATTCTAAAGCATTCATCAAATCAACTTGCCTGTAATGCAATGTGAACTTAATCATTCTTATTTTAAAGTGCAATTTTAATAAAGCTTATCGAATAAATCAAGTGGTATTAATGACATTTACATATATTTAAAAACAAAAAATTGCACCGATTTTTTATATAACGAGCTATCAAAATCTGTCACAAAAATATTTTGTTTATTAATTTAAGGTTGAAAAGTTGATTATTCTTGAAGCTCTACTAAAATTGCCTAGCAAAATTCTATAGCGGCTTAGGTATCAAATTACCTGTCACCGCTACATGGGGTTATACAAATCAGTTAAACTCCAATTGATTTTAAACCTAAATGTCTTAAAATACGGCTTAAAATTAACTGCAGAAATAACTGATGGTAATACAGAATCTGATATTTGGATTTATAAAATATATTTCACCACTCTTATCTCATATCTTGCAGCTAAAAAAGGATAGCAAGAGTTTCGTGTTTGCAAAATGGGTTTTCATTTATTTTTACTTCCAATTCTGTTTCGCACGAAAATATTTTTAAAATATAATCAGATATATACAAAGGGTAAAAAGTATTTGATTTGGATTTTTATAAATAAGGCCATTGATTACTGGCCAAGACGACCACCAATTAACAATATGAAATAAGTGGCGTAGAATTAATTTTGATGAAAACGATATACCACTAATTTCGTATCGTGTCGGGTGTATGCAAAGTTCTACACGTTTGAATAGTGTAAAATTAATATAATGAAGTAAAAGCAAAATATTCCGTACCATTTATATTAATGACATCCTGACGTATGCCAAGTAATTATAAGCAACTGAACTAAGTTACCGCTCTTTATCTCTCAATAGAATCTGAGAAATTAATATAAGATGGAAAATTAATTATATTGCAGTAGTGAAAACAGCCGTCTATAAGTTATTACCTAATTATTTGGTACCTCTTTCTTCGTTATTTGGTCAATGACAAGAAATTATAATAATGAATGAGTACTTCTAGTAATAAAAGCTTTTATTTCATTTTATTAATTTAAATCTATTCAACCTTGTAGAATTTATTTTGAGATTTACTTAATATTAGAAGTCTTTCTCATCACATCCGAGTCCTGCTGACCAGTTGCAGATGCTTCCAACAGGATCGAAGCTGAGTCCTTTCGGACATATGTATTCCCATCCGATTATTGCGCCGCTCTCAATGCGGGCGCATGAGATGAACTTCTTACACGACGTTGGATGAGGGAAGTTGCCAATGTCGAGACATTCTATGTTGCCTGTGCCTGTACCTAAAAATATGGAATCGTGTTACAGTTTACTTTATGGGTGATTTAGTTAGTGGCTAAAGTTCAGTCGCCAAACAAAGAATTTCGTACGTTGACATTTATGCCTACTGCATAGATATCGTAAACATTTTCAGTGTTATTAATAAACAAGGTTTAGCGTTGGACTAAATTTTAGTCAAAATCGCACTAAGTATTAGTCAAAATTCATATTATTAAACAGAAACTTAGCAAAGGTTAAACTAGTACGAGGTTCTACGGGAGTATTATTTACTCCTAGAAGGTAGTAGGTTTGCTTATTCTCTGTATAATATGAATTTGGGCTAATACTAAAATTGCAATTTTAGCGTAAATTTATTCTGACGGTAAACCTGTTTATTAATGGCACTGTTTAGGTTTACTTAACTATGACAAAATTGGATAGATGCGTCTGTGCGAGCGCAACAGCAGTATGTTTGTGTACGAGTGAAAAAGATATGTAATGCTGGGTCATTGTACGAAATTGTCTCTGTTCGGCGACCGGACTATAGCCGTGTGCTTCGAGTCGGCTATTATTACCCGATCGCTATCATAAATATTACAAACCTTTCCTGTGAAGTATTACTTTAGTTTCTTCTAAATATTTCTCTGCGACTCTCTCCGCGCTGTCATCGTAATAGTCGTAGTTTAAGATCGGTCTGTAAGTTCTTTTTGGCGGCGTCGGTTTTACTTTCTCGAAAGGTTTGGCCTTGATGGGTCCTCGGCGGGGCTTAGGTGGTGCCGCGGCTGTCGCGGGGGGAGCGGAGGGTGCGGGGGGCGTGCGAGGTGTGGTGGGTGCTGGGGGCGCGGAGGTGGGTCGAATGGTGGTGGAGATTTTCCTATGAACCTTCTTCCTAATCGGTCTCCTAGTGGTCGTTTGAGGTGTCGTGATCGGTGATAGATATTGGTATTCATCTGTAAATGGAAAAGAGGTTGTAAGTTATGATTTAATTCTATTTCGGTAAATTCAGATGAAAAATTAATTTATAGTATTACTAACCATCGTAAGTTTTTGTCACAGGTGACTCGAGCAAGTATTCTCTCGTGAAGTAAGCTGGTTCCTGACTTGCACCGGAGTACCCTATAGTAGAGAATGGGTAGTCTTCTACCGGTACAGGAATCGGCTTCTTCGCTGCTGCGAACCTTGGAGACGTCGACACTACAGGTGATACGCTTGAAAGACTAGTGATTGGTATATGGGATATATCTGAATCTGTCGGAGGCACACGGGAAAATATAGGACTGGTCGGCGCTATTCCTGATAGTCCAGTATTTATGATTGTCGGTGTCGGAGATGGTGGTGGTCGAGCACTTTCTACAGGGAAAGTACTAGTACTGAAAGTCGACTTAGGAATCGACAAAGTGGGAACTTTAGCTTCAAATTCGGTTGATAGACCCTTGAAGGCCTGACCGGTAGTTATGTAATCTGGCGAAGAAGTTCTATATACAGGGGTGCTGGTAAACTCTTCGAAGTATACTGTCTTACTGTCCGTTTTTGGTTCTGTCTCCGTCCTGCTGAAGTATTGGGTCGTTTCCGTATAAGATTTTTTGGTTGTCTTAACCTCTTCATAGTCCGGTAAAACAGGAATGGGTGCTGCTAAAAGCTGATGAGCTGCTATAGCTACAGCTGTTTCAGCAGTAAAATCTGTAGAAGCAAATGAAAGGTTATATTTCTGGCAATTGTTTAACATGTTTTAAGAATTTGTGAATCGTGTATTTAAGATTAATATACAAGGATTGTTGAATATTACGAAAGTGTATCTGAACCAGGGCCCAATGTAAGGAGTAACAACTTTTATTTAAATATTCCCGGGTTAAAGTTTGGGAAAGATGTGTATGTGACTTCTACATAATTTATTTATAACTGGGAGAGAGCTCTTTTTTCTGTACTGTGGAGAGAGCTATGACAACCTTGAAATATAAACTAATTAATAAGTACCTACTTTATTCTCACAATATTATGAACTAAAGTAAAATACAAATCAAGATTGTTTTGAATCTCCAGAAAGGTGATTTCAGTTTCAGCCCAGATAGCATGCAAACTTGGGGCAAGTTTGATTTTTCGTTGATTCTAAATGGTTGCGCCAAATATGACGAGGCAAGTTTGGGACAAACCTGTATTCCAGGCACTCCAGTACCCGAATACCTCCTAGGTATTCGAATCAGTACCTAGGAAAATTATCATTACTACCGTATCAAAGGTAGTGCAAGTTTGTCACACTGAAACTAGAACGATTATATATTGATATTGAATATATTGATTTAAACCTGCTGCAAGTTTGCAAAGTTGCCATGGCAAACTTAAAGGAACTCTCTTTTTTGATGCATCAAACTTGTTGCAAGCCTGAAACCAGTTTAAATTGCTATCTGGTAGCGTACTAATTCTGACATATATTTGCGTGTTTGCATTTCTATAGGTCGGCATGGTTTATTAAATATTGTGTATCAAGATGCAGATTTCCTCACCATCAACAGGAGTAGTTTTCTTTTCAGTTACAGCTTCTGT